AAAATCAGGGCTTGGGTACCTGTATTTTTGAATGCTAGGTAATGTGTGTGATCAATTGACATTTAACACATTTCAAACCAATTAGAATATTAAAGAAGCTGCCATGTTCACTCATTTCCAACACTCACAAAAATCATTAGTCTCAAAGTACTTCACACACCACAGAGAAATCTCTTCACCCGCCCACCTCTCTGGTGGAACTTGTTAAATTACCACCAACACACAGAATCCATGCAACAATTTAAGACGGGACCCAAAGCAGGCCAACTGTACCTGACTGGAACTGCAGGGGGGAGGGTCTTTAGAGAAGCCAAAGTTGATTTCCCCGCCCCCCACATACGTACACACATTATTATGCCGTGTACTACTTGGCTGTAGCCCTCCACCCCAAAGATAGCTGCATTTCAGTGCTGTTCTCTGTAGAGATTCTAAAATTTGAAACCTCACTAGACCTACAGAAACTCAGTGATATTCCGGAGAAGAAGGGAAGATTTACGAGTTCCGTAACTGTATTTAGCTAGTGAAGCAATGAGGTTTCCTTTGGGATGAAAGGCATGCTACATCTGAAATATATTAATATTACACTTATCGCTTTTAGTCGTGGCAAAAAGAAATGCAGGAATAACTGAGTTAATAATAATAGCATGATATTACGAATTTGCCCTTCAACCACGGCTCTGAAAAGCTTTACCAGTCCCCTGTGAAACCACCTTATTATCCATAAATAAAACGTGGATAACACTTCAGTGAGTCAGCGGCGGGGCCTAGGAACACAACTCAGGAGTCCTGGCTCTCACTCGGATCAAACACTTGACGCCGGGTTCCCCAGGAAAAGGGGGCGACGCCTCAGCCCTCGGGGCCATTGGCAGGCAGGCTCCAGCCTGCAGAAACCGTCCCCAGGCGCCGGGCCAGCTGACCTGAGAACGGCCTCGCTCCCTGCGGGTTGCCAGCTCGCAGAGGCTTCTGGCGCTTGAACTGGGCCATTTTGGGTGGAGCGGGCTGCTCCTCTTCTCCAGGCGGCGGCGGCTTCGCCTTGGGCTAGGAGAGGAGAGAGACAGACAAAGGCCGCATCAGCCACCGGCCGCCCTAGCCGGCGAGCGGCCGCCCGGGCACGAAGTCAGGAGGAGGGCGGAGCCCGGCCAGCCCCGGGAGGGCGGCTCCCCCCGGCCCCGAGCACCGCCCCGGCCCCGGCCCCTCTAGGCCCGGCCCGCTGCCCGCGCCCACCCCGAGGGTCCGAGCCGGGAGAGCGCGGCCCACACCCCGAGGGGGAGACCGGGGCGGGCGGGGATGGACGCTGCCCCCCTCACCCTCCAGATCAGGGGGGAGACGCTGCCGCCCCCCTCACACCCCGCGTAGCTGCGACGGGGGAAAAGCCACCGGGGCCGGAACCGGAACCAACCTGCGCGCGGGGGCGGAGCAGGAGAAGGGACAATAGGGACCCGGAAGCGCTTCACCGGAAGCCCGTTCTCGCCCCCTCCCGCCCAACCGGAAGGGAACGGAAAACCGCCGACACACACCCTGCCTCCCCCGCCGCCGGAAGTGTTGCTGCCCGGAGCGGCAAACGGAGACACTAGCCGGAAGTGTGGCGGAGGGGGGGAGGTCAGGGAAAGCACGCCCGCCGGATGTTCTGGGGGCGGGGGGCGTTGCCTGAGCCTGGACAAAGGGATGCCAGCGTATAGTGTGACATCATAATATCCCAGTGACGTCACAGTTATGCATCACTTTGTTAGATGACATCATAGTACCCCCCGTACAGTGACACTCGCTGGACAGCCCCCCTGCCCCATTGAGGCAATACTGCCCCCTACAGGCAAGAGACCCGCAGCACCGGGGCCCCATCTCACCCCAGCAGGCGCACAAGGAGACACGCCTCCTCCCGAAACCCCATCTCCCCCTCCCCCCTCACTGCCTTACACAGCTCCCCCCTCGACTGGGCCAAGCCCCCATGTACCCCTTGTGGCTAGGGAGGGAGGAGGGCGAACACAGCTGATGGACTCCAGCCAGAGTCATTTCCATCAGCAAGCCAGGGTCAGGACACAGTCCATTGCTCCGCCAAGAGCAACCCCTCATGGGCGTTATCAAAAGCGGTCGCCTCTCCCCCAAGGCTTGCACGCCAGAGCGCGGCGATGGTCCATGGCCGTTACTCGTAGTCGCTCGTGATAGGTGGTCTCTCACAAAGGTTTTACTGTAGATCTAATTCTAGAGGCCAGTAGGCCCTTAGGAATTTACTCCTTAAACTCTGGCCCTGGCCCAACTTCAGTCTTTCCCTTAGCTCTGGCAGATGGATCCTAGCACTATCCACCCCACAAAACTCACCCATTACATCTCCCAGTCTAAGTGAGCTTTAACAATCACAGTGCCTGTACATTACTCCCTGCCAGGCAAGGGATGGCAGGTGAACTGTTCGGAATAGCCATTACCCCTGCATCTTAATCACACTAAGACCCTATGCAACCTGTTAACTGAAATAATTTATGCCTTATTTTAAGCAAGTATTTAATTCGCCCCAAATCCTTTCCCCATGTAAACAGATAAATATTTCACCGTGCAGGAGGTCAAGCAATAAATGGAGTGCATCTCAAACAACAAATCTATTCCAGGGAGCTGCATGGAGGATTATAATGGAGATGTTACTGCCATCATGTGGTTAATTTTAAAACCTTCCCCACTTTTGTTCAGGATAGGTTCTCCCCTTTGCCCCTAGCCCAGTTCCTCAGTAGAAAGCATAACTGATAACAGCGCCACTTCTAACCAAATGCAGCACGTGCTCGCTAGCCAGGCTCCTTACAGATGTAGGCCTAGCTCACTTTGGAAGTGGCGGCTAAGCTTCATGCAGACACAAGCCTTAGACAAGCCTGTCAGAGCAGCGAGTAGGCAGAGTTTTCACAACTGCATAGTACTGATTATTGAAAAACAGGGTAGAAAAATAGCTGCTCTTACACAGGGCCCAAATCCAACCAGGTCTTTGTCTCAAAAAAAAAACAAAAATTAAAAAAATTAAAAGAACCTTCCAACCCACTCTCCCTGCCACACACTCCCACCTCCCCTGGGCTCATGCTGGGAGAATAGGATTCGTTAATTTCCCCACACATGACTTGGCTCAGCTACCTTACAGATCCCTGCACTTGAGGAAGCTGTGACCTTTCCTGGGGCCAGAAGAGGGTTAACCCCTCGTCTCTGCCCTGTCCATACATCCCAACAGACTCCTTAAATAGTAGGTCTGTCCACACACACAAGCAGCTGCTGTAGATATATATCATGTGAGCACAAGAACCAAATTCCATTTTCACCCTCTCCATTCTATCACTTCTCTGCTCTGCCTCTCAGCTACAGTTACTTTTGTACAGGTCAGTGGGTCAGGAGGCTTCATCATTCACTATACATATAATAATCAAACTATACATGTAAAATGATGGGGTCTAAATTAGCTGTTACCACTCAAGAGGAGTCCTTGTGGATAGTTCTCTGAAAACAACTGCTCAGTGCGCAGCAGCAGTCAAAAAAGCAAACAGAATGTTGGGAATCATTAAGAAAGGGATAGATAAGACAGAAAATATCATATCGCTTCTATATAAATCCATGGTACGCCCACATCCGGAATACTGCACGCAGATGTGGTTGCCCCATCTCAAAAAAGATATATTGGACTTGAAAAAGGTTCAGAAAAGGGCAACAAAAATGATTAGGGGTATGGAACAGCTTCCATATGAGGAGAGATTAATAAGACTGGGACTTTTCATCTTGGAAAAGAGACGGCTAAGGGGGGATATGATAGAGGTCTATAAAATCATGACTGGTGTGGAGAAAGTAAATAAAGTGTTATTTATTCCTCCTCAAAACACAAGAACTAGGGGCCACCAAATGAAAGTAATAGGCAGCGGGTTTAAAACAAACAAAAGGAAGTATTTTTTCACACAACACACAGTCAACCCGTGGAACTCATTGCCAGAGGATGTTCTGAAGGCCAAGACTATAACACGGTTAAAAAAAGAACTAGATAAGTTCATGGAGGGTAGGTCCATCAATGGCTATTAGCTAGGATGGGCAGGGATGGTGTTCCAAGCTTCTGTTTGCCAGAAGCTGGGAATGGGCTACAGGGGATGGATCGCTTGATGATTCCCTGTTCTGTTCATTCCCTCTGGGGCACCTGGCATTGGCCACTGTCGGAAGACAAGATATTGGGCTAGATGGACCTTTGGTCTGACCCAGTATGGCCGCTCTTATGTCTGAAAAGCACTGGTAAGTGCTCTATAAATGCTAAGTACCAGGACTTACAGGTATCAGTGATGCTAAAGGGGAGTGAGTAGGTGACAGAAGCAACAACAGGAACGTACAGGGCAGGAGGCAGTGCTGGGGATGACCCTACTCCAGGTATCCAACATCCTTGGATCCTGGACGATGTGGGCATTCAGCATTAAGAGCACGGTCACAGTTGCATCTTCTCTCAATTCCTCTGCAGTTCTGCTCCATGCACTAGTCATCACCTCTGAAGAGCTGCCTGAGTAATGTCCTCCATGCAGCCTGGCTCTTTAGCTCACCTCTGTTGGTGGGGAGAGGGTTACCTTTCCACTACATGTTACTCCCTACTGCGCTACACTGCTGATTTGTCCCCAGTGCCGCTCCCACGCAGACTCCTCTGCAGCCAGAGCATGGCTAGATCACGAAGCCGTCATGAGGGTGACCCTGGGTGATCAATTCTCCCCTTACCCGAGAAGGGGGGCTGGCTCGGCCGGACTAGCAGCACGTGGCACTTCATGCTGCACTGGTCTCTCAGGCCGAGCTGTTATCGCCACAATATGGACAGGCCAGAGCGCGAGAGGGAAGGATCCTGGGACTCCTGCATGGGAGACAGATACCAACAAGCCGCCAGGACGGCGCACGTACTCCTGAGTCCTATCACGCAGAAAGGCCCTGCACGCACAGACTCCCCCCCATTGGCCAACCGACTGCCCAGTAGCATGGGAGCGTGAGAAGGATGCCCCCACCTCTCGCTTTACCGATCAGGATGCAAAACTCAGTGGGAATTTATTTTTGTTAAGTGTCTAAGAATCCATCAGCCTCCATAAGCACCTCTCTCCATCAGACCATATAAACACATTACATACAAATACACTGGTGCATTTACAAATTGACCAGGTGCTAGTAGTGGTCCACTAAGCAGTCAGAGGAGTTCGTTCACGTTTGACAATGCCGGGGATTTCTCACTGCTGTGCAGAGACCCCAGCACTGGAGTCCTAGCCGACGCACGGGGGCTGAACAGAACGGGAGTTTGGATGGACATCCCCTTAGGAGGAAGGGAGACTTCCGGTTGCACACAGGTCAGCCCCGTAGTTCCGTTAAGGTCTGCGGGAGAGCGGCCCAGTGGTCAAGGCTCCTTGTTACCCACCGTTGAGACCCGGATACCAAGAGCAGCCTTGGAGCTGCCTGCAGTCACAGGAGGATGAAGGTGGTGGGAGTGAGTCAGCGAGCAGCGCAGCGGGAGCGCCTCCTAGCATCTGCAGCAGCACGCTGCAAGCTAGGAAGTAGCAAGATTTCAGAACCAGCCTGCTAAAGACAAACATACCCGGGGGAGATGCTGGGCAAGAGAGAGAGAGTGTGTGTGTAAACAGACACCAGAGGCCTTCTGGGGCTCACCCAGCTTCCTTGAGGACCTGCCTCAATGGAGGAATGGGCATCCTAAGCATGCCCACCACGAGGGGTTAGTAGGGAGAGCGTGCACCCCAGTGTTCAGATGTCTATGCAGGCTTGATCCACGGTTGCTTGGCTTCTACGTCACAGCTCCACAGGAACAGAAGCAGAGCAACACCTGCCCCTCGCCGCCCTCCTTTTTCCACAGAAGAGCCAGAAATCCCATCAGCCTCATCGAAGCGGGCGAGACTGGGAAATCCAAACCAGCATCGAGGGGGCAGGGGGATGAAGGGGACCCTTTATGGAGAGTGTATACTGCTCCCCCGTTCACGGCAGGGAAGCCTCAGCAGCTTTAAATCCTTCCTGTCTCCAAGAGGCTCCCGCGGCCTCGGGGCACTCAGCGCACAGAGAGGGTTTTCGAGCGGTGTTTCTTCACCCCCAGGGCTGGCAGGAAGCTCCTCCTGGGGTGGGAGCCGTGTTTCTCCAGTGAAGCTTCCAGACTGCCAGGGAAGAGCAGGGGGTGGAATACATCAGGCTGGGGACACCATACGCCCGTGCCAGGGCACGTGCTCCCCGTCAAATCCCATGTCAGTCAGCAAATTACACCCACGGCCCTGTGGATCCCAGCCCATCCATTGCCACCCAGTCACAAGCAGGAAGAGGCACGGGGCAGGGAGAAACAGCTATCCCCTTCAGTTCTCCCTCAGCCCCCATTGCAGAGAGACAGCTGCATTGCCCTTCCCAAGGCAGATGGTTTGGGAGGCACTGCACCACTAGGGGGCAGTGATTTCACTTCCTTTTCCCCCTGGACTCGGCTCACACCCAGTTACCCCAGACCACGAACGCCCCATGCATTGCTCCTTCTGCCAGGCGGCGGCTGCTGCTCCTGGGGTCCCAGTTGCTGGCACCTGCCCAGTACAGGGTTTCTGGAGGGGGAGGCAGCATATATAGGCCTCTCAGGAGGGGGCACTCCTGGGGGGGAAAGGCACATGGGGCCTCCCATCCCTAGGTCCTGGGGTGCTGGTGCCCAAGGAGGGATCTCTCACCTGCTGATGGCTTGGTGGCCTGGGTGAAACAAGTTCTAGGGGCCACCCGCCCACAAGAAGGATGTTGGTAAATTGGAGAGGGTACGGAGAAGAGCTGAGAACAACTAAAGGATGAGAAAGCCTGCCTTCTAGCCTCGGACTCAGGGAGCTCCATGTATTTCGCTTAAAGAGCATGTGAAAGGGTGACGTGATCACAGTCTAAGTACCAACATGGGGAACAAATATTTAATACTGGGCTCGACATCCAGCAGAGGAAGTTGGAACTAGACAAATTCCGACCGAAAATCAGGGGTACATTTTTAACCTTGCGGGTAATTAACCGTTGGAACAACTAACCAAGGGCTGTGGTGGATTCTCCAGCACTGACACTTCTCCAGTCAAGATTGGATTTTTTTTTAAAGAGATTTTCTCTAGGGATTATTCTGGGGACCTTCTCTGGTCTGAGCTAGGCCGGCGGTCAGACTGGTATCAGAATGGTCCCTTCTGGCCTTAGAATCTGTAAATTCTGATCACAGACGGGACAACCTGGGACGTGCATCACAGACAGGACAACCTGGGACTCTTGTTGGCATCCTCAGCAGAGAGGCCAAGGATCAAGTGGGCCATGGAGACTGCCCGCCACTCCCTCCCCCCCCCCCTTGGGCTCCCTCCAGGATGGCTGGGCAGCACCAGGGGGAGCCTGCCCAGGCTGTACCCATGCTGGGGTGAAGGCCTGCAGGGCTTTCCCAGCAGTCTGTTCACAAGGAGCAGCCTTCTCTTCCCCACTCAGTCTCTAGGCTGGGGCAGCCTTACCGACAGTGTCTGCTGTCGACGGCCGACTCCCCAAACGGGGAGGGCTCGCTGGCCCGGATGGATTTCCTGGTGATCCTGTTGATCAGCACTTTGACTTTCCCCCAGTGCGAGCGGTCATTCTGAGAGGGAGAGAGACGGCAGCGGTGAGGGAAGGCAGGAGCGAGGGCAGCGGCTTCTCCTGCCATGTAGGGGCGAGCCAGAGTCCTGGCACCCGAACACCCAGTCCTCGTTCTCAGGGATAACTCTCCCTCGGGAGATGTGGACAGGGCAGAAAGAAGGGCTTTCCCTCTGGCAGGGGCAGAGGAACCCCAAACTCCTCCCCAGGGTAGAGCGGTGGGGATGGGGAACCAAGTGTATCAGCTGCTGGCTGTCAGGAAGCACTTCCAAAAAGCCACTTCCCCTGCAGCTGCTGGAAGCAGGGGCGGGGCTGGGGGGGTGTCTCAGGCTGGGCGGGCATTGCACAGCGCTACTCTCACCTGGGGAACAGCTCAGCAGGCAGCACCCGGAGAGACAGAACATAAGGACGGCCATGCTGGGTGAGACCAAAGGTCCATCTAGCCCAGTGTCGTCTTCTGACAGTGGCCAGTGCGAGGTGCCCCAGAGGGAATGAACAGAACAGGGAATCATCAAGTGATCCATCCCCTGTAGCCCATTCCCAGCCTCTGGCAAACAGAGTTAGACACACTGGGTAAGTGCTGGCCCAGCACAGGCAAAGAAGGGCACCAGAAGTAGATGCACGTACAGGGTCTTCTCAGCATCAGGAGGATTCACATGGAGTTCGTAGGGGATCCTTCTTTTCTCCCTCCTCTCCCCCTGGTCCCTGCTCTACAGGGCATTAAACCTACCCTGGGTCTCATGTTTGGTGGTAGGGTATGGGCTCCCGAGTCCGGCTGATCCAGCAGGGTGGGTGAGCTGACGCAGTGCATTGCCGTCTTCCTGGAGCAGACCGGCTTGTTCTCTGCAGAGAAGAGACAGCGTCGGCATCCATTATCTGCTGAGTTAAAGCAACCAGCCCAGATGCGGCCCCACGGAGAGAACTCAGGCCATCTAGTACCAGGGCCAGTCCTGGGGTCAGTACTCCCTGCTTGAATGGTCTCAGAGTTGCACACCCACCTGGGAAAAGCCTCAGTCATCATTCCTCAAGCTTAATTTCAGAGCCCAGGCCTTTTTAATGCCAGAGACCCTGTGCTTGGCATTTGCCTGGGGGGATGGGAGACAGACAGACTTCCTGGTCAGGGATCTCGCTCTCCCCAGGCTAGCGGGGACAGCACACCCAGCACCAAGGGGGCACGGGGCATGCTCTACAGGGAGAAAACTAGCTAGTGGGGAATCCGAGGGAGCTGCTGCCAGATCGGAAAGTTTGTGTGGGTGGGGGCATATTCACGGGAGGGTGGAGAAATTCTTAGCAGCAGCCCTTTCCCCTTCCCTAAGGAATGAGCCACCCCAGCGAGGACATTCGATTTGCACAGCATGGGTCTCATTAATTTTGGGGGTGCAGTGATAGGCAGGGTTCTTCCGCCCACCCTCCTACTCTGGCACAAGTCAGCAGCTCCTAGCCGCCAGGACACGCAGGAGAAGGGATTGGGCCTTGGGGCTGCTACTCGAGCCGGGCTCACTCACCTGAGCTCCTGGTCAGGTCCTGGAGCACCCCGGTGTCTGAGACCGAGCGCGCCCTGAAGTGGTGGGGCCTCCAAGAGTCCAGAGGCAAATCCTCCTCCTGCATTTCCACCTCCGCCCTGCTCTCAGGTGCTGGGTCCGGCTCGGACAGTCCCCGCTCTTCTGGGGCTCTGCATGGCCTCTCCTCAGAGGGCACCGCCTGCCAGGGAGAGAGGATGCATGGAGTGAAACAAGCTACTGCGGGGACTGGGGTGGGGAGACCCCTAGTCATTCCCACCCTCATGGCGAGAGGAATCCCAGAGCCTAGGGAAGACCCACCTTCCCCTTCCACCTCCCCCCAGCTCCTCAAGAGTATCTAAGGAAGCCCCACCATGGCTGGAGATCTAAGAGGACAGAGGACCCCCCACACACACACCCCACCTTCCTCCAAGGGGATCACACTGCAAGGTGTATCCCCCAGAAAGGGGTGCTGCACAACTGGACAAGCAGCTGCATCCTCCCTTCCTCCTTCCTTAAGGAATGGAAAGACCTGGCCACTGCACTCCCACCCTGGTTCCTAGCCACACTCATCCCCCTGTGCCCCCCGCACAGCCAGCCTTACGTTCTCAGCCTGCTGGCCCCACAGCCGGTTCTCCATCGCCTTCTGCTGCTGCTGGAGCTGCAGGTTGGCCTGCTGCAGTTGGGCAATCTTCTCCAGCATCAGGCAGACGTGCTCCAGGTAGCGCAGGCCCTGGCCTGGCAGGGTTAAAGAGGGGTCTCTCCGCACCTGGGGGATCACACAGCACAGAGCATCAGGCACGGACACGGAGCAGCCTGGGGGACAGGGCACGCCCTGCAGCTCTCAGTTGCTCCAGCCAGGGCAGCACTTGTTGCTCCTCCCAAGTTTGTCAACGTCTTGCAAGGGGTCCAAAAACAAATGCAGTATCCTCAGGAGAGGTCCATGGAGGGGCTATTCCCTACAGGGGGACCCATCCCAGGGGGAGCTCACTGGAAACGCACAGCTGGGGACGATCTCCATGATGGGACCCGGACGGGACAGATCAGATCCTTCCCAACAGGGGCTGTGTTCAGACTGCAATTACCCCCTGCATCAGTTCCTGGCTCCCAGATCCCACACTGGCCTCCCCAGGAACCGCACCAATGCAAATTGCTTATGCAGCCACCTCCAGCCTCTCCCACCATGTTAGCGTCAAGGTCTGTGCTGTGAACACGCCATGCCACACCCTTGAGGGGTGGGCCGAGGCAGAGTGAAGCTCCTAGCTGGAGATCTGGATTTGCGGGGGGGGGGGGGGGGCAGATTTCCTCCTCCCCCACATCCAGCCTCTGTAGCCCCCCCGACTGCTGGCACTTCCCCAGCCCCACACGCTCTGGAGAGGTAGCTAGAGAGACAGCAGCAGCTTAAGGGGTTTAAACCAGATTATGAAACTAGGGCATCTCCAATTATGCCTGATGCAGGCTGGCTCCATCCCGCTGCTCACACAGGCAGAGTGGGTTGTTTGTTGGGTTTTTTTGTTTTGTTTTTTGGCGTGGGGGGGGGAATCGGATCTATGCCAAGGACAATCCAAGAGGAGGTGGGGCTCAGGGCTTATTCAGTTCTAAGAGCAAAAGCAAGGCGCCAAAGCTGCAGGGGCTGGACTCTGCCAGCTCCGTCGCTCCGGGACCTACAGGGACACCCAAGCCCTACACCTCCTCCCCCTTCCCAGCAGGGAGGCACGGAGCAGCAGACAGATGCACTGCACCGGGGAGGGACAGAGCCGTGGACGGACACATCGCAGCAGAGGACAGGTTGCGTTCAGAGGGTGGTTAAACACGTCACTGTGTAATTGGGGTTGGGGCCGAATGAAGGTTACATTCCCTCAGGTCACTGCCCTCCTTTGCTGGCTGGGGAGGTTGTGAACTTCCCTCACAGCAGTGCCCTGCCTGCTGCCACACCAGCTGGGAGTACAAGCCCCCTGTTATGCCGATGGGAAGCAGCAGACCTTTCCCCACCCAACAGCCCTTCTCAGCCAGGCAATCCCATCTCAGGTCACTGGGTCCAGCACCTATCTGTCCACATGGCGCCTGTACCCTGCCATTGGCCTCTGGCCCTTGGACCAACCCCTGGAATCGATCCTGCAGCCCTGAGCTTTGGGGTCGCCAGGTGACAGGCCAGAGCTCCGGCCAGTGACCAACCCAGACAGGGAAGCCCAGACGACCCCCACAGATCCTATGCTTCGAGTCCAAAGTGTTGCGGGGAGACAATGGGCCTCTCCGTATCTACCCAGCCTCCTTGTGTCCCAACCCCTATGCCGGAAGCCCAGTCCCTGGAAGGCAACCACTGGTCCCAGACACTGGATAGTCTGAGCTGCTGGAAGTGGGGGGTCTCAGGCTGGGCAGGCATTGAATGGTGCCACTCCTGCCTGGGGAACTACTTAGCAGGGGGCTGGAGAGCTGCCCCACAGAGCAAAGGGGAGAAGAGAATGGAGGAGTTCCGGCAGGAGGGCTGCTCCGTCTGGCAATGCCGGATCTCGTCCGCTCGGCCTAGTGGTCTCCCGGCCCCTCGAAGCCCAAGGGTGGGTGGGTCTCATTGAGTGGCAGCTCTACACGGCTAAGGCTCCTGGCTCAGGAGAGGAAGGCCCTCGCCCACAGCATTCCTGCCCCTCTCCAGCTGCGATGGGCTGCCTGCCAAGCCGCTCTTCACATCACAACGCCCTACCTTGCCTGCTCACAGCAGAGGGAACTCCTTTCTGTGCACCCACAGAAATATTTTCCTCCCGTCCTCTCCTAAGCTCTTTGCTGACGGACGATTCACTCACCCCCACCACCTAGGGGACAGAGCCAGGGACTGGGAGTCGGGAGTCCCAAGTTCCATTCCTCTTCTACAGACCTTGGGCATGTTGCTTTGGCTCTCTGGGCCTCAGTTTCCTCATCCATAGCAGAGTTACGGGATCTCCCAGGAGAGTTACGGGTTATCAAAAGCTATAAAGAGCTTCAGGCCAAGCATCGAAACTTCCTCTCTAGTGCTGCCGCAAGCTCCCGGCCCCACAGCCACCCCGACCTAGCCTGTAGGAGCTGCCCCTCACCCTGGCAGTCAGTGCAGGGGATGACCCCAACGTGCCACTGTCTATTAGCACATGCCGGGCGAGGGACTACAGCATCCACAGAGGGCTCTGTCCAGTGGGCAGGCCCCACAGACAACCTGGGACCTCTAAGGGGCAAAGGAGGATCCAACCCACCTGGAGGGAGTGAGAGGAGATGGGACCAGCCAGCCTCGTCCCACACCGCCACTAACCCAGCAGAGCCAGGCACAGATGTAAGGCCTAAGAACTCTATCCCTCAGCTCACTAGCAATAGCCCTAACGAGCCATTGCAAGCATGCACCAAGCAAGTCACGCTGTACGGACCAGCACATGGCATCGGAATGAGTGCTCTGGAGAGGGACAGGTGCATCAGCAAAGCAGCTGGGGGGACAACGGGAGCAGACAGGATCCCAGCAAATTCCCTTTCAGTGACCCACAGGCTAGCCCTGCAGGGCCCTGCCATCCTGGGGGAGCTGGTACTGCCCCTATGCCAAAGGGGACCGAGGTCACGTGACCAGAGGGCACTGCATCTCAGGTCAGGAATCACCAGGACACTCTTACATCAGAGCCGGGTGAAACCTCATGACTACAGCTGGCCAAAACTTGATTTCTGGTGGAGCATGCAGGTTCAGCAACTCCGAGACAGCTCCCTGAATTGGGGTGTGTGGGGGCGGGGGTGGTGGTGATTTTTTGTGGGGTGGGAGAGGGGGCCGCAGGGAACACAACGGATGGGGAGACGGACCACAAAATTCCAAACCAACAAGTCAAAATGATTCAACTGAAAATTGTTTGCTGTGTTGCTGAAGCCACGTGGGTCCCAGGACAGGGGAGACACCGGCAGGCAAGGTGGGGGAGCTAATATTTTTTATTGGACCAATTTCCGTTGGGGCAAGAGAGGAGCTTTCAAGCTTGAAGACGAGCTCTACAGAGGTCAGAACTTGTCTCTCTCACCAACAGAAGTTGGCCCAATAAAAGATGTTAACTCCCCCTCCTTGTCTCTTGATTCAAACCGACTTTTTTTCCCTGAAATTTCCTTCCATTTAGTTTCAAAAATAAAAAACCTTGACATCAAAACCAAACCTCCCTTTGACCCTATGTTTTTTCCAACTCTTCGAACTGCCAGCAAACTGGAAAGTCAGTTATTGGCTCAGTTCTACTGACAACCAGCCCAGCTTCTGCCCACGCCACTTGGAGCATCCCGGCTTAGTCATCACAGGAGCGGTGACGACACCGCAATCTAATCAGAGGCACTTACACGCGCTTGTGTCATGGGATGGAAATGTGGAGCGTTTCCCTATCTGAAACCGCCCCGCCCTCCCTGCGGCAAGATGGGCTAGGGAGGGGGGGTGACGGCCATCCCGTCTTCCCTGCCCCCAGTGCAGGGGAGAGAGCACGCGGGCTTCCTCGCAGCAGTGCCTGTGCCCAGACCATGTCGCCCAGGGCCCCAGGGAGCTGTTTTTCAGCTGCTGCTACCTTTACGCTAGGGCATCGGCATGAGGACGCCGCTCCATGCTGAGCCACGGCGTCTCTTAACCCTTCAGCCCCAGAGAGGAGGCCACACCTGCTGGAAGTCAGTCCAGTTGCAACAGATCTTGGGAAGGAGGGGGAAAATTGTCCCTCTTCTCCACCCTGGCTAGCCCCTGTTGAACCACAAGGAAGCCCATTCCTGGCACTCACCTCCACTTCCTCCCCACAGGACTCAGTGCTCTGTTCCTCTAGGCTCCGGCGGCCAGAGAGGGCTTGGCTGTGCCCCTCTGCAGCCCCACCTTGACCGCTCAGCTCCTGCAAGCCGTAGGAAGCCAACAGCTCCAAGTCCACCAGGTTCAGGCTCTTCCGGCCGAGTGGCTTGGGAGAGCGGCTGGGCGCATGGAGCTTCCCGGAGCGCTGCATCACCTGGGCCAGCTTCTTGCTGACCGACAGGTTCCGGAGGTAGGCCCGCTCCCGGAGAGGCTCCGGCTCCTCTGGCCCCTCTGCTTCGGGGCAGCCCTCCTCTGGGTCGCTGGCAGCAGAGTCTGCGGTGGAGGGCTGGAAGCCATCAAGACAGTCCAGGGAGAAGCTGCTCTCCGAGCCCAGCGGGGTGGAGGGCGAGTTCTCGTTGCCGGCCATCTCCACCCCAGAGTCCTCAGACTCCGACTTGAGGAGCCGCCCGCTCTTCGGGAAGAGGCCCAGCTGCTGGGGGAGGTCAGGCTCCGTCGGTGACCCGGCCTGGTCCCATAAACCCAGCTCGCCGCTCATTCTGCTGCCCCGCTGTGGCTCGGGAGCGGGATCCGTGCTCTCTCCAGAGGCTTCCTGCAGCTTGCGGTAGATGCTGGCCGAGGTTAGCACCACGCAGCTCTCCCAGGGCTTCTGTGCGCCATCTGCGAGGCAAGAGAGATGCATTGTCAGAGAGGCTGTCTCTCTCCCTCCTCCAGAGGACCGCAGCCCTGTCCTCTCCTTACCTGTGGCCATTTGAATATGGTACCTGCCCAGCCGGCAAGCCCTCCCCAACTCCAGCCTTCTTCCCTGCCCCATGCCTATCCCTTATTGCTCCATGTGCATACCAAGGAGAACAACCCAGCTCCTGGTGATTCAGGGGGGCGGGGCATTTCAGGGAGAAATGCTGCAGAGAGCATGGGGGGAAGGGGGCGGGAGAGTTCACCATGGAAGTTTGTGCAAAGGGTAAAGACAAGCACGTGCATCTGTGTAGTCCTTGGGACATCAGGGGCCAGCCACTGCAGTCCTCCTCCCCTCCCCTCCTTTTACGAGGTATGTGTCAATCTAGCGCTCACTGAAAGCATCTTTCTACCCAGAACCAGTCGGTCAGCCACGTGCAAGTCCCCCCCACCCCACGCTGCGAATCCTGACCCACAGCTTTGCCAACGCCTCAGTCCTGGCCCACGGCTCCCCAGCTATTCCAGCCCGGTGCGCTCCCACGACTCTGCCGACGGACTCCAGCTCTGCCCTGCTCTTCCCACCTGGCTTTACTGAGACACCTCATCTTCCAGCTCTGGGCTCCCCGTTCCAGCTCTGCTGATGCACCCCAGGTACCGCCCCCCCACACTGTTAGTCCATTTCTGGGCCTCCCGCACAGCTCCGCCAAGGCACTTCCATGTAGCACCCCCTGCTCTTCCAGTCCCAGCCCTCTGCTGAATAATTTGGGACTGCTGGATATAGAGAAACACACCACTGTGAAGACACAAGGCTCCCCCTCCTCCATCCCCCACCCATCCCCCGGGTTTCCAGCCTCCCAGGGAAACCCAGGCGTAGGGACTGAATGCGCCACTCGGCCAAGCTGCCCTGCGTCACGCTCCTTTCCCCTGGCCTGGGAGCTCCAAGCTAGAGCACAACCCTCCATGAAGCTCTGGGAGGCGTGTGCATTAGGGGTAGAGGACACAGTAACTGTCTACAGATACCTGGGGGAGGTGACCGAGAGGCACAAGCGTTATCAGAAAACGCAGACCCTCTCCAAGAGGGATGGGAGCTGCTGGTGTTTGGGGCATTTGTGACTGGAGTGGACAGCAGGGACGGATCCTGCCCTGCCCCTGGCCGCAGAACACAGAGGTCTGATCTAGTTTCTGCAAGGGCAGCTCAGAGAGGGTCACTCGCCATCTCCCTGGAAGCTGAATCCATCTCTCTACACGGTGACCCCAGCCCTCCCCTGGCGGCTGGGTTAGGAACTGGGATCCTTTGACCTCAAGTTCTTACACCCCACGGGTAGATTCAATCTGCATTTTGCAGCCCATTGCCAAGGCTGCATCTGACAGCCCAGCGCATCCCAAGTCTCCCTGGAAACATCCCCTGGGGCCCGACCCAGATCCCAGGTCCTTTGTGCAACGCATTGCTGAGGTGCTTTGTAAACAGCTCCTTCCTGGCACCAGGCCCAAACCGCATTCCTCGGCCCTGAGCGAGCCAGGGCTCCGCTGAAACCGCCACTCTCACCACGTCACTCCATGAGCGAGTCAAGTGTGTCCCAGCCCGGGCAAGGGAGCTGGCACGAGGGCGGTCAGCAGGCAGTGCTTTCAGTTGGGCACCAGAGCCCTGCTGCGTGGAGGGATAACTTCCCAGCTCCACGCAGGTCTCCCTGCCCCACTCCTCACGCTCTCGGCAGGCACCAGGATTTAAGAGCCCTGTTTCTATACTTCCCTCACGATCAGCACACACACGTCATCCCCCCCACAGCTATTAGGGATACCGACTAGGGACAACATACCCCAGCCTGATCAGGGAAGCCAGAGGGAACAGACCCGCCAGCAACACAGAGCCCAGCACCATCCTGTGGAGGCCAGGAGGAAAGAACATAAGAACGGCCATACTGGGTCAGACCAAAGGTCCATCAAGCCAAGTATCCTCCTGTCCTCTGACAGTGGCCAATGGCAGGTGCCCCAAAGCGAACGAACAGACAGGTTATCATCAAGTGATCCATGCCCTGTCACCCAATCCCAGCTTCTGGCAAACAGAGGCTAGGGACACCATCCCTGCCCATCCTGGCTAATAGATTCATGGAGGATTGCTTCATCAATGGCTATCTAGCTCCCTTTTGAACCGTGTAATAGTATTGGCTTTCACAACACCCTCTGGCAAGGAGTTCCAGAGGTTGACAGTGTGCTGCGTGAAAAAAAATACTTTCTTGTGTTTGTTTTAAACCCGCTACCTATTAATTTCATTTGGTGTCCCCTTGTTCTTGTATTTATGAGAAGGAGTAAATAACATGTCCTTATTTACTTCCTCTACACCACTCATGATTTTATAGGCCTCGATCATATCCCCCCTTAGTCGCCTCTTTTCCAAGCTAAAAACTCCCAGTCTTATTAATCTCTCCTCACACGGAAGCTGTTCCATACCCCTAATCATTTTGGTTGCCCTTTTCTGAACATTTTCCAATTCCAATATATCTTTTTTGAGATGGGGCGACCACATCTGCACGCAGTATTCAAGGTGTGGGCGTACCATGGATTTATATAGAGGCAATGATATTTTCTGTCTTAGCACGATTCACAGCAGCGTTAACAGGTTCCACAAGGAGGCAAATCCCGTCATCCCTGCCTGCGAGGGTAAGTCAGCCCGAAGCAGGGCTCTCAGGAAGGGAGGGATGCCCTCCCATAAGACCAACCCTGCCAGCCACTAAGGTCCCCGAATCTGGCCTCTGACTCATTCTCTCTCCAGCAAGGATGGAAAAGGGCCTTCCATTGGCTGACACAGCCCATGCCCCACACTGGGTTCAGCACAGCGCCATGCCCGACCCATACCACGGCATGCGCTCGACTGCAGCCAGCTCCTCTGGTGAGTGCCTGACCCAGTCTCCAGTCACTGCTCAGAGAATACAAGTCACCCACTCTCTGCTGGGAAACAAGACGACGTTCCCCACGCAGTTTACACAGGGCCAGGTCTCTGCTAGTGGAGACTATGGCTTGGGATGGGCCTCTCTGCCACCATCACATGCACCTTCAGAGCAGGCAATATTACCCTTCCCTGATCCCCAGACACTGGGCCTGCCCCACAGCCCCCCAGCGGGGAATGTTTCTAGAAACCAACACCATCCCTCTCCACCTCTCTGGCATCCTGGGAACATTAGAGGCCAAAGACAGCTTACACTTATCTATGCAGCAGGGCTGGGCTCAGTTCCCCAATCTATGGATGCTGCATAGCCTGGGGAGGGCCCAGCAGTGAGATAGCTGGGTCAACTGCTTATCTATGTGAGACACAGGCAGGAATGCATCTGCCATCACCTTGCAATACCGGACATAATTGCACCCAGTGTAACCAGCAAGACTCACTCGGAGATTGCAGTCCCACATCTCCTCCCATCACAGGTGCCCAAAACCCCCAGTGTGAAAGTGTCAGGAAGTAGGGGGAGGGGCCCAGAAAGCAGATCCTCCAAGACAAGACAGACAAGCTTTCATTCCCACGCTGCCAGACAGGTGGATCTAGGCTTTGAGTCACAAGTGATAGCAGTTGCACATGCTCCCAGGTGCCACAAGGGAGGAAGCCCTCCAGATGGACTACGATCTAGCTATCCGTTAAGAAGCCTTTCCACTGACCCCAAGCATGGGCCAATATGGTGGTTTAGGGCTCAAGAGTGGCTTTGGGGCAACCAACCAGCCACATGGATTTCAGATTTAAAAGTTTTATTAAAGCCAGTGTTAAAAAATGATACAGTACACAGGTTAAGTAAAGAGTGTCTGTACATCTGGGTGTAGTGCTTAGATTATCCTCAAATACAACGTTTGTTTATAAAGTCATAAGATACATACAGTGCATAATCAGCAATGACCAAATGTAGGTGAATAAATTTAAGAATACAGTTTAGATATTAGCTGCCAAGCATTCGGGTACATCACTCATGAAAAGTAAAACAGAGAGTTGGTTGTGGAAAGCAAATATAGCAATGAGTGAAGACTGTCCCTCAGCCATTGAGAATTGAAGGTAGGTTGTCCATTTAGAAAATACAATCCACGAGGAAAGTATTTCAGTTACTTTCCCGACCGCGCTTCTACTAGGACACCAGTTTATTTCACGCACCTCTCCTTAACCACACACAACAGCCAGAGATGTTTTAACAAGCAAAGCTCCCCCAATTCCCTTATTTCAGCTCCTTCCTTCAGCAAAAGATTACTCTTACGATTCCTATGAACTAAGAACAAACCTTAAATCTGGATCGAGGAAGTGGAAAGACACAACCACACAGACACCAACATTTCAAACTTGAGCATCCACAAAGCTACAAAGTTAGATCAACAGTTAGGACCCTGAGTAAGTGACTGGATCTTCCAGAACTGGCAAGCGCCCTGCTTCCACTGCAGGTGCTCAGAACGTCTGAAAAATGGGTTAGATCACTCAGGGTTTGTCTACACATGAAAGCTAAACTGGACGAAGGAAGGGTATGAATTTAAATCTGATTAACTATTCTGGATTAGCTTCATGTATGGACAGATTTATGCCAAATTAGCTCAATTCCGGATATATTGGAAATGGACAACACCCCATGTGGACAAGCCCTAAACATTGATTTAGATACCTAGCTTTATTGACACCTAAGTGTGAAACGTAGGAGCTGGCTGTGGTCAAGCGCATGCCATGGTATGGGTCGGGCATGGGCTGTGTCAGCCAACGGAAGGCCCTTTTCCATCCCTGCTGGAGAGAGAATGAGTCAGAGCCCAGATTCGGGGACCTCAGTGGCTGGCAGGGTTGGTCTTATGGGAGGGCATCTCTCCCTTCCGGAGAGCCCTGCGTTGGGCTGATTTATCCTCCCAGGCAGGGAAGACGGGATTTGTGTCTGGAGACCAAGATGTAGGGCCACGCCTGGACACACAGACTATCCAACACAACCACATCATCTATTGTTTGCCCCCCATTATATGACAGCATCTCAGCTAGTGCTTTATGCATTTAATCATACAGCAACAATGCTACTGCAATAGTTTGCTTTGAAGATGCATCTGGCTGTGCCAGAGCTATGTATGAACCGTCACCAATAATTGACTCACAAGGTGGTGTGAGTCAGCTCAGCTAAGCGCATACCCATGTAAAAAAAGAGAGATACTAGAAAGGTTAAGTAACTTGCCCAAGGTCACGCACCAACTCATGAATTCCTGGACTCTGGCTTCATGCTCGGTCCACTAGACCACATTTGCCTCACACTCCAGGAAGTATCCTGACCAAAACAGAAGTGGCACAAGACCAAGATTTCATTCATACCATACATTGCAGAGTATCAATAGCCTATTGGTTTTAAGCAAGATAAGACAGATACCTAAACAGCACATGCTACCAAAAGGCAGATGCATGTGGGACTGGAAGGCAGATTAATGCCCAATCAGATAGGCAGCAGTTAAATCTGCAGCATTCCCCATTTCCTTTAAACAACAACTTTGCAATTAATGGCCAAAACACACCTTGCAGGGACGTTTTTATACCAATTCCAGTAATTCCCAAATATTTCCATCAGCCCGCAGGGACTGTTAGCTCCACCTCCAGTTTCAAGGTGGGGTGGAATGTACACACACAAGGTAGTTTTACAAGGAAAGACCAGAGGGAACAGATTATAACAGATACATGGGGCCTCTTACCACCCTCCCTGTCTCCTGCGCACGTGTATTTAATGCTCATATTTAATGTTCATGCTAGTGCAGCCCTGCCAACTTCCTTATTCCCAGGACAGGCACAGCACCAGTAACCGGTGTGTAAGCCCTCTCCACATGTCCACGCTGCCAACATACCTCAGTGCTGACCAAGAGGAACCCCCTTCCAAGGGAGTTCAGCCTGCATGGACGGCCTGCTCAGTTCTTCGCCTTAGTCTGCGGCTGTGGCTACTGGTAGCTGAACTAGGGCTTTCGGTTACTATTGATCTGAGCTGGATTTGATCCCAGAAACTAGAGCTGAAAGTCTCCTTGTTCCATCACCAATCCCAAACCAGCTAGCCTCTTCCAACATGTAGCTGAGCCAGCTGTCCATGGCACACCTCCACTTGGACATAGGTGTGGCATGTACACAGCCCCCACTCACTGCTGGCTTCTCGCTGTGAATGGTTTTCGGTTCCCTCTCTCCTGCATCCTAACCCCATTCCCTGCACGGCTGTGTCTTTCCCACCCCTCTGAGGAGTCCCCTTCTCCAGTCTGGAAGAGGAAATGGGGTTCAAAATAATACAGGGGAAACAGGGCAGGGCTGAACTCGAGCTAGGCTCAGAGGGGAGACTGACCGACACCCCCACCCCCTCATGTCAAACAGCAAGTCACTGGAAGAGCCAGGAACACAGCCCAGGAATCCTGGCTCCAAGACCCCTGCTGGAAACCCCACACCCAAAGACTGAGCCCCACTGGAATTGTTCTGGGACTCAATCACAGAGCAGAACAAGTGTTATTGCTCCTCATGGGACTCTGTTGTGATCTCCACTGGAGGGCGGCAGTCCTGGTGGGATAGACAAAGCCACAGACGGGCTGGTTTGAGTCTCCACTGCTCAGCCAGGTCCACACCAGCACACAGCCAAACTGGTTCAGAAAACCGGTTTCACCAGCAGGTTGGATAGTGGCTGCACTACAGACATGGCCATGTTTGACATCAGGTATCAAGAACAGCAGCCCAGTCAGTGCAAAGAGCAAGTACCCTCTCTGCTCCAGAGGTCCCCAGCTACGCTCCTTGTCCGTATGGCTGGCTGGCGGGGTCCCCAACGTGTTTCTGTGTAACAGGGGATTCTGGTATGGAAAAGGTTGGGAACCACCGAACCACAGCGGAAGCATGAGAGTAATGGAGCCACTAAACCGCTGATCGGAGCCATGGTCAGGGCTGACCCTGGAGACCTGCAGCCCAGGAGGGAGTGAACCGCAGAAGGAAGCACGGTTTGTGTGCTGTAGATACATCCATCCCCCCTCCAAGGGAGCTCCTGCAGACAGGGCTGGCACCTACTGGCGTTCCGGAAGCCCCCTCCGGAAGGGCACGAGCCCAGGAGTCCCCTGTGCTGGGGAGGTCAGAAGTGAGGGAGCCCATCCCGGTGCAAGTTCGCTTCGCCCCTTCCCTCAAAGGGCGGGAGCTGCAGTGTGGAGCATTGTGCCTTGGGGCAGTTTGTTTGCCTGGGCTGGATCGCATAGAGCCCAAATGGCACACAAATCCAAAGCCTACTAACACCTATTAGGGAGCAGGGAGCGCCCTAGGGTGCGTGTAGGCCCCACACAGAGCAGCGAGCTCCCCAGAAATGGGACACCCCTCAAGGCACCCAGAGCAGGAACCTTCCCTAAGGCGCCCAGAAACAAGGGCCTGTCCTGGGGGCGACTTGGGCTAAGGGAAAGTCTGGGAAACAGGAACCGCAGCAGGGCGCAGGGAGCCCCCCACCCCACGGACCCAGGAGCAGACTCACTCCCTACCACCAGGGCGCATTTGGGCGTAGGCTCAAGGGGACACAGAGTCCCCCTGCGAGGCGCGGGGAAGAAGAGAGCGCCCGGTGGAGAGGGGAAGGTCTGGGGGAGAACCGGGGCCGTTCTCGGCTGCAGGCAGGGGAATCTCAGCGCCTGTCCGCGGCGCAGGAGCGCCTGGGCCAGCTGCGCGCACGGACGGGAGAGCCCCGGGGGCGCAGAACCAGCCCCAGCCCCGGAGCGCAAAGGGAGCGGAGAGCCCAGGGCGTCCCCAGCCCTTCCGCGGCTACCACCCACAGCCACCCCTCCGGGGGCTCACCTCGGCTCCAGAGCGGCTCCACGGCGAAGACCCGCCGCCTCCTCAGCATCTCCCCGCAGCTCTGAGCGGACACCGGCTCCGGCGCGTCCCCTCGCGGGGCTTGTGCGCTCAGCACCGGCCAGGCACCAACGCTGCCCCGGGTGCGTGCCGCAGGCTCCGGGCGCTCGCTCTGCCTGATCCAGCCCGGCCCCCCTCGGTGGGCTCCTGGCCGCGGTCTGCGGGGAGGGGTCTGCCAGGGCTGGGTCACTCCCAGAGGACGGCTCCCCCCGCCGGAGGGGCGGAGAGAAGGGGGTGTGAAGGGGGGGGCGTGTTGATGAGCAGCGCGGGGGTTGGAAGGGGAGTGCGGAGAAAATCTCTAGCTCACGCCCTAGGCAAAGGCTCAGGAGGGAAGAGTCCTGCCCAGCCAGCCCTCGGTGTGCTTTGCTGCAACTCTTCCTTTGGTTTGTGAACGGGGAAATAAATCACTCGTCATAAAGCTGTCGAAACCTCTGGTGTCCCATCCCCTCTCCAGGATCGGCAGAGGAAGCTAATCCCCCACGGGCACGGAGAGGGGGTGGTTTGCATAAAGCCCAGCTCAGGAGGGAGGGTACTACAGCCACCTGGGCCCGGATCCTCAAAGGCACCTAACTCACTGGCGGAGCTGCTGCCTTCCCCCAAAGCATGAAGCCCAACACCTAACCTGATGGGGCAACAGTCTGATCTAAAGGCCTACTCCTCCTGAGATGATGCCCTTTGCACCAATTTATGAGACGGGAAAACTGAGGCACAGAGTGGGGAAGCAACTTGCCAAAGTGCAATTCAGTGTCAGAGTTAGGGAAAGAAGAACCCAGCTCACACTAACCCCTAGCCTACACTCCCAACAGAGGGCAGGGGCTGGAGTAACAGGGATAAGGAATGGAAAAACAAATTATTACACCTGTAAAAGGAAGAAAATCCCGCTCAGGGCACCTGCTATTATTGAGAGAGACAGGAAGTCAGGCCTACCCACAGCTGCCCTCACACAGATAAATGGGGATTGGGAACCGAAATCCTCTTGATTAGATTAATCACCTTCATCCAGCACTTAAGAGGCCTCATCCTCCAACTAAAAATCAATGCACTTGTAAGGAGAAATTAACTGCATGCACACGTCGCCCCTCCTGTGTCCTAACCAAAGGCTGGGTATTTCCCCGCAGGGCTACTACTGCTCAGAAAATATCTGCATCTCAAGATGTGTGGTAACATCCTGTTCCCCTCAACCAGCCACCTGTCTGGTTGTCTCACTCCACAGGCTCCTCTCATTAAATGACCCACCCACACAAAATTATTGGAAGGTTTCTGTCATCCCCTGAAAAATTTGGCTCACGGAGGTTCTCAGTCTCTCTCTAAGAACAGGGAAAGCAGCCAGCCGGGTTCCTAATCCACACCCTGGAGGAGATTAACAGTGCAGGGCATTTAACCCCCGTCATGCCAACAGCTGTGCCTGGTTGGGGGCTGGCCCCCAGGCCCAGGGAAGAAGGGAATGTGGCACTGGGGTGAAAAAGGAGATCAGCTAACGGGGGAGACCCAGGAGGGCAGAGACCCTTGGGTAATGCCCACTGCTGCAAAAAGGAACCAGTTGATGCCACAAGGACAGATGATGGTTGGAAAGGCCTCCACAGTTAAAGAGAACATCCTGCCCCGCCATCATCCAGTTTCCCCCTCCTCTTCTGAAGGCTGGGCAGCTTGTCCAGTGCAAGGAGGAGGCAGTATCGCAGGGCTCTGGACAAGCAGGTTCTGGAGGTGACAGCAACCTGGTGCCTTGCACCAGGCACATGCCAGGGTCTCTCGCACTGCAGAAGGCATTGATGGGGGTGTCGGCCAGCCGTGCAGCCAGGCTCACGGCTCCGTGGCGGAACTGATATCCTCCGCAGGCAGCAGAACGAAGAAGGAGCGGGAACTAGCTCACTGAGGATCGTCATGCTCGCCCTGTGGCACTGGGTGTCAGGGCAGGCCAAGAGGAAAGTGCATAGCCTGGAGCACAAGCACCCGCAGGCATGGTTTGGAAGGGAGGTGACTGGCTGGATGTCATTCAGCCAGCCCAGGCAATGCATTGGCAGGAGGTGAGGAGTGCAGCTCAGGGCCCCTGCTGAGTGCAGATATGGGGTCACTAGGGCGTTTAATTCCTTCTAGGCAACAGTTTAGACCGTGCCCTGAACAAGGAAGGAGCTCCAGTCCTAACCAGCAGCTAAAGCAGGGAACTCCACTTGGCATCTGCCCAGGGTACGTTGCTATTTCAGAGCTGGCGCTCACCTGCAGCCATCAAGGAATAATGAAACAAAACACTGAGGAGCAGCATGGTTCGAGCAAAGGAACTAGGAGTCAGACCTCCTAGTTGGGAGTATGGGCCAATGCTTAGAGCTGGGGAGTCTAGAAGGCAGGGTTCCCCAGGACTTCATTCCTCAGGGTAGTGGCTAAGGGAGCAAGCTCCCTTTGTGCTCAGCGCTGCACGAACAGAACAAAAAGACAACCACTGCCCTGAAGAGATGACAAGCCAACTATTCCTATAACTATCTGTCAGTCTCTAAGGTGCCACAAGTACTCCTTTTCTTTTTGCGAATACAGACTAGCACAGCTGCTACTCTGAAACCTATTCCTACCCTGCCACTGATTTGTTTTGCAGCCTCAGCCAAGTCATATGGCTCCACCTTGCCTCAGTTTCCCCATCTCTCCAGTGCAGGGCTGAGGCATCTGGAAGGGCAGCAGTGTATGGAGGATGCTTGCCCTGCCCCAGCCTGTGCAGCATCTATTTTACGGAGCGGCAGGTTTCATGCGGCAGGGCTGCCGCTCCAGGGTTGAACTCATTGTAACCCCTGAGAAAATAGCCAGGTACAACAATTCCCTTGGAAAACAGATGACTATTTTATTTGTGTGTTTATATCTACACACACACACACTTTGCAGGATGCTGCAGACACTCGGAAGGAGGGGACATTCATTGTGCACATGGACAAGGTGAGACGAGCCATCAGCTACAATAATACAATTCACACAGCCAGATTTTTCAACTGTTCTCTGTCGGACTCTCAGCATTTACATTCAAATCCAGGACAGTTTTGTCTGGTTTTTTGCACCCTAATAGACAGCCCAGCCCAGCCCTGCCAATATGGGCTGGTGGGATCAGGAGACAGATTGGAAAACAAGGAGGAGAAGATGCGAATTTCCTTGATAGAGTGTTAATGTGGAAGCCTAATTAAAGCTCATAGACCTATCAAGAGTGTTAACCATTTCACTTCATAGTCCGTGAAAGGGGCGTGGGCAGGTGTGCAGAGCAGGCCTAGACTCCTGGAGGCCTGGGTTCTTTTCCTAGCTCTCTCAGATCCAGCGTATAAAGCAGGGATCTGAAAAGCAGAATTCCTTGGTTCTATTGCTGGGCCTAGGAGGGAATGTGATCAAGTGGTTAGAGCAAGGGTGAAGTAGCAATCAGGAGTCCTGGATTCTGTACCACCTTTCTGAAACTGACTCGAGCTGGGTCCTGGAGCAACTCACTTCCCTTTGTGCCTGTTTCCCAATTTGTTCTTTGGGGAGAATACCTGCCTTCCTCACAGGGGGTTTTCAAGACTTACCTCATTGGTCTGTAAAGTGCTCTGAGATCCAGCAGGCAGGGGCTTAGGGGGCAGAGACCTATAGGGTGTATGGCCACCCAGCCTTGTGTGTGTATATTTTATATATATGAACATACATATGTGTGTGCAGGGAACATGGATGTACTATTTGTAGGCATGTCTCCAGGTATGCATGTTGCGTGTGTGCTCTTAGGCCTGTGGGGGCCCTGGGTGTTGACATGTGCCTGCCCAGATGCATATGTACATGTGTTCTCGGCTGTATGAGGTCATGCATTTGAGCATGTATGCAGGCAGGCATGCAAACGCTTCTGCATGCCCGTATGGGTGGGCGCCTGGTGATGTGTGTATGTGCTGATGTGCATGTACGTGCAGGGGAGGGCAGGTGAAGAGGCGAGGGAACAAAAGGCCCCTCAGCTAATCCCTCCCAAGGCCTGCTGCACTCAGAGGTAATTAGGTGTCAAAAGGTAAATAGCTGCTTAGCTTCCTGCTGGTTCCTGGGTGGTGACTGCTTGGGGCAAACAGTGTGTGTGCTTGTGGCGAGGGGGTTCGAGTCGAGCAGACACTAGAGTCTGGCTCATTGCTTCTGGGGGCCTTGTGGAGATGGTCCAAGGGGGTGATGAGATTTCATCCAACGCCTTGAACTAGATCCTGGCCAGTTCCTAGGATGCACAACAAACAAACCCCTGCAGTCATGAGTCAGGGCTCAGTGCTGGGGGTGGGTGTAGACAAACAGAGCAGGCTGCCTATGCAGATGCAAACAAGGGGCAGTTATTGGGGTGAAGAGATTTTTAATTCATGAGGGGCATTGTTTCCTGTCTTAGGTGTATCTAGCCACGGGCCTGGCCACTCCACCCTGCTTTCTCTTGTCCAAGGCTGTGCACTGAAGTGGGGGGATGCTGTCCCTCAGGAGCAGAGACAAGAGCCAGACCCAGGCATGCACAGATACAGGCCCACCACCCAAAAAAGCCATCATGGGGTAGGGATGTAGGCCAACCCTGGCAGGCATCGCACAGGTGCCCAGGGCTCCCCACAGGCACAGTCCCTGCCTACTGCCTTTGTTGCCCAGCAAGCTCCCAGCGCTAAAGGAAGTAGCCCCCCCACTCTGCTCCTAGGGCAGGGAAACACATCCAGTCCTGGCTATCCCCAGCTACCCCAAGCACCTGTGTCCCTGACTCCCCCCAGGAGCCAAAGAAAAGTGAAAAAGGAGGAAGGGACACAGGACACTATCTCTTTGCCAACTGCAAGAGACGCAGGACCCTCACCCCTTCTGCAGCAATGGGGCTTGGACAGGGGCCCCTGTGCCCTACAGCCTCAGTAAACAGAAGGGGACCATGAAGTAGCCCCCACAATCCTCTTGCTTGAGACCAAGGAGCAACAGCCTCCCCCCCCATGCAGCACCCAGGGAACCACGACCTGCACGCAGGTCTTGCTGCATCTCCCAGCCCGCATTCCTCAGCATTGGTCCTGCTAGCCCTTCACGCTGTGGCCCCCCTCTCCCCCCAAGCAGCACATCCGGGCCATGGAGCCTCTCCAAGGCAGCCTCCCTGCTCTAGTTCCCTCAGGCCAGGCCAGGAGTCCAGCAGCCCTGGCCTTGCTGTCCACACCAGTCACGGGGGTGGGGGGGAAGGGGCCTGCAGGCGGCCTCTCCAGTGGCCGTAGCCACGAGGACGCCAAGGTCCGTGGCTCCGTGTGATGCTGCCCCGAGCTCCTGTGAGACTCTGGGGGCTTGTTTCTCTTGCCCGCCATGGAGCCCTTCCCCTTAGCCCAGCAGTGCAGCCTCAGCAGGGAGGGAGCGATCAGGGCGCCATTAAGAAGC